TAATTAGTGGTCATTCATGTATTTTATTTTATTAGTTGTATTGATTTATCTGAAATTTGAATTTTGAAATTTATATGAAATTTGAAACCAAAAATCTTATCTGATATGAATAGTATTGACATGTAAGAACCCAAAAATCTTATCCTAAAATATTATCCAAATCAAATGTTTAAGTAAACAAAGTTGTGAAAAAAAACTAAATAAATAGTATTTGTCATAGCAAGCCTAAAACTGCTGGAAACACACTTTGCTGGGGGGGCTAGGGCAGCCACTATTCACGTGAATAGTAGCCGCCCTGGGGCTCCTCTTGCCATGGCAAGGGGCTAACTGGTGGAAGTGCTCTGAGGGGGAGCAATATCGTACGTGTTGCTCACCCCTACAATTGCATTTTCGTTATGCCGGTGATCCTATGGAGTTGGTGTGTGAGATGACATGGCAGTGGCGACAGCAAAAATCTGTTTCATTTTGTGTAACTCTGATTTCATTGTAAAATGGCTCGTATGAAATAAAAATTTGAGTTTTCGATTATTTCGGCCTACCTTATGATTTACGTTTCCACACCGTTTTCAAAGTATTATTTCTAACTGAAAAGCCTTATGTTCTATCGTAAACGTGGTGCTATGGTGTTCGGTTTTAACATTGTAGCACTATGTTGTCGATAGGGCATGGCGCTGTCACATGCCCGGTTTTCCAAGGCGTGGTACTATCACGTGCCCGGTTTTCCGGGGCGTGACAATTGCCGATAATTTTAGTGTTGCTAATAATGGGCCACTAGTCCATCTTTCTTAAATTTAACATTGTATCAGAGTTGCCTAATTGATTGGGCTTGAATTATTGGCATTTACTCTTACTTAATATGTGTTGTTAACATATTGGGCTTGAATGATTGACTTTAATGTGGAATTGGTTGCACATGTAGCCCAATATATGTTGATCCCACATGACGGGCCATGTTGAAGAATATGTATATGCTTCGTGTTGAAGAATATGTATATACTATGTTTTGAATGTTTTATGAATGGTCAACACGTATATACTTTGTTTTGAATGTTTTATGAATGAGTGGTGATTTCCCCACTTCAATTTTATCCACTTACACTCCGTTTTATAACTGAAAAATGAGTGTAAGTGGACAAAATTGGAGTGGGGAAATCATGTTATCCTTTGTAAAGAAGAGACAACACGGCTATACTTTGTTTTGAATGTTTTATGAATTATGTAAAGAAGAGAATGTCGTGAATTCAATACTACATGATTTTAGACATATAAAAATAAAATTAACAATGAAAATGTCTATTATAAAGTCAGATCCAAATAGTTGTAGTCACAGAAAAATTTGAACAAGAACACCCCTCAAACAAACAAAAAAAAAAAAAATCAATAACTGATGTGAAATTTTTATTTGAAGTAGTTTAGAAGGTAGTATTGTAATTAAATGGTGTGAAATTTATATTAAATGTTTCGGTAGTATTGTAATAAACGAAACAAAGGCTCAAGTTATATGAACTTGTGGGCATCAATAACACGTCAATTTTAGGCCCAAGTGTATGATTTTGTTTTGAAGATCTAAAAGGAGTCTATCCATTATGATTGGTTTTTTATTAATAAAAAAATTGATTATATTTTTTTTTTGGATTCCATGCCCCAAAAACTATAATAAAATTGATTATAATTTTTTTGGTCGACTACAAATTACTCAATGTTTGACAATTAAGTTCCTTTTATATTAAATAAGTTGAATAATAGATTTAGTAATAGAGGTGTCAAATGGGTCAGGTCAACCCATTACCGCTTTGGTTTGTGCTTAGGGTGGGGTGATAGTTATTTTTTAAAAAAAATTGGAAAGTCCAGCCCGTTTGGTAAACTATGAAAAAATCACTTATTGTTAGAAATTGTTGTGAGAGAAAGATATAAAAGAAAGCAACTAGTGAGGTGCTTTCATTTTCTGGTTATGCAGGAATCAGTTTCAAAGAGAAGCTAGGTTTAATGATTATGCGGCAATCATTTTCTGATTATGTGAGAATCAATACCAACAACACTTTTAACAAAAAGTTTACCAAACGACAAACTGCTTTCTCTCACAGCAAATCTGACAGTGATTATTTTCACAGCACAGCAATGCCAAACTGTCCTTAAGTTCAATTTGAGCTTGCAACCCTAGCCCATATGAGCTTAGGCTTGGCTCTGGTTGGGACACTAAACAGTCCAACATGGACCTAAGGCAAGCCTGACTTATGTATTTCTTGTTTTTTTTGTAGTTTTTTTACAATTTTATTTCAATATATTTTTTTTAAACGAGCATATATATACTAACAAGATTTCTTATTTGTTAGAAAAAGAAGCCAATTCTAGATTATTGTTCAGGTTGAAAAAAAATTGAAACTTGAAGAACAAAATCATAATTTTATTTATAAAGAAAGCATTGATTTTTAAAATCTATCATTAGAAAAAAAGAATGGACTTAGATTGAAGATATAAATATAATAATATTGTACTCTTTTTCTCTTTAAAATAAATATAATATAATAAATGGGTTTCGGGCAGGGTCGACCGTTGGGCTGAATTAACTCATCCAGAGTAGCCTATACGTGTCAGGCCATGCCGAGCTTCACTTTACTCAGGCTCGTGGCTGCCATCCAGATTTATACTCAAAGTTGACTTCGATGGTTGAGGGAGAGTCAGATGGCGAACGAAGGGCTAGACAGCCACGTTAAATTGATTTGAACCGTGAAACTCAGCTGCATCAACTTGTTAGAGCCAGCTAATGACGAGGATTAAGAAGAAATCAAGGTCTATCAATTTCACCTACAAAGAAGAAGCTGGTACAGAGTTGAAATGTTTCTTTACCAAACTTGCAAAGTCAAGAGCCAAAGATTCTATAAATAAAAGCAAAAGATATGTTCCAAAGGACAACGAATCTCTCTCAAGAATAAACAACTTACAACCTTTAAATACTCTCGACTCAGACACCTTGTCAAAATGTCTCACAGTAGACCAAAGCCAAGACTTGAATCAAATCCTCTACTCTTTGAGTTCCTAGTTGACAACTCCTAATTGGAATTCTCTTCTTTTCCCAAAACATACTCTGTCTAATTCCTAGTTCACAACTACTGATTGGAATTACTTTGCTATTGTTTGTAATCTTAATGCTCTGCCAACATCAATGCTTGGTATGATTTTATAAGTTGGTCACCATCTCTAGCTTATCTAAAGTCAAATTTGTATCTACAGGCCTTTTTTGGCATTGCAGATATTGCTGACAACCCTGATCGAACACATTCTATTAGCTCGAGTAGATTGCAGTGGTGTCCGAGAAGAGTTGTTTATGTCCGATAGGGTCCCCTTGGCCTTATTAGAATTTCTATTGTTTTAATTTAGTGTATTTAGGTTCAGACGAATTTGTATTTGCTTTCCTATAATGATACTACATCCATCAGATACTTTTTGTCTTTGAACTTGTATTGTACTTTCTATCCGATATTAGTTTCAAGTTTTTATTTCTTCCAAGTTTTATTTCATAATAAGTGAAATGTTGAAGTCCTTTTAATCGGGGCATAGAAAAGAACCTATCCAAGCCAGATTCCCTACTTGGAGTACAATAATTTCGGTTAGAGGTTGAGATCAACAAGCACAATATATTCATCACATCATTTCACCACACTTCATCTCTTCCTACTAGGAGACTAAAACACTAGTAGTGCCATGCCTAACGCACCTAAAGCGAAACGCCAGCATTGAGCCCATCCTAAGGGCTCAATCTATCATTTCTTAACCAGCAAGCAACTCATAGTAGCCAAAATACATCCTATAAGAAAATTGGGGCATCACAGTGTTCACCAAAAAGCCCACATACACTTTTGGCACATACACCCTTACTAGGTGTATTGGTGTTGCAACAATCTTTGACACCAAATACAACTGCAGAAAACCTTTGACTATGCCTATTGGTATTGATAAGGTATGAAATTGTGTATTTTTAGGTTAAAATACTAGGCTATGTAGGTTTATTTATTTCCCCAAACCTTCACTAGCTTGCCCATAATGTTCCGCCAGTGCCTATATGGGTGTCCCTCAAATAAGCTTATTTAAGAGATCTCTCAACTGAAACTCTTTGTATATATATAGTTCACATATTTAATTTTACCTCCTACATTGTGTTCACTAATTTTCTTTTTCTTTTTTTCGTTTTTTTAGAAAGAAATTCCATTAATTTTCAAGAACAACATAGAAGAGCCTGCATATATGAACGCAGCCTCATTAAAACCTTCTCAGGGAAAACCACAATAGAGAAAACCCTGAGATAGAAAAAAGAGTGCCACACATGCATTAGACTACAAAAGAGTTAAAAGAACAAAGACCAAACAAAATTACACATAGCACAACTACAAGCGCAACAAGGAACATCCCACCACAACATAATATTGTCAAAGAAAAAATCATATGCTCGCATAGTTCTTTGTACATCGTCGAACAAAAGTGTCGTGAATGTCAGAAACAGAACCACCAGAAACACCACCCCCCCCCCCCCCCCCCCCCCACCAAAAAAAACCACAAACACCCCCAACAACCAAACAAAACGAAGCACAACTACAAGCCCAGTAAAGAGCACAACTACTGGCCTTCAACCTTCCCTTGTGATTAAGTGCGCTTGTAACTCCTGATCTTGGGTTCGAAGGTTGGTACCACATTCTCTACAAAACCCAAAGAGCATCCCACCACAATATAATACTATCAAAGAAAACGACCTATGCACGCATAATTTTTTATACAGTGGGAACAATGTGTCATGAGCATCATAGAAGACCCGACAGAAACACCAACTACCAACTACCATCTCCTTTGGTTCTTAATCCAGACCCCTAAGTTTGGGGGAATTTTTGGTTATTTATAAAAATAAAAAAAATAAAAAAAAATAAAAAAAAAGATGATGGAATTTTATGAAGTCCCTGTTATAAAGGGAACGAAGGCAACACATCACCAGAACACTAATTAAAGCTCTCCTCTCACCCAACGAATAGACTGACTGACACATATGCATCGCCTTCTCTTCAAAGCAAGGAACCCAACAAAGTCCCAAAGATCTAAATCCCACACACTTCCCAATCTCCTCCAACCTCTTCATTAATTTATCTTCCAACCTTAGCTTATATTTAGCAATCTCTTCTTAACCATTTTAACTACCTCCTTCCTTACAACTCTCCCAACCCTCTCTCTCTCTCTCTCTCTCTCTCTCCAAATTTCTTCTTTTTAATGTTCTCAATCAAAATTTTCAGTAATGGGTATCAAAGCATTTGCGCTATCTTTCATGCTAATTTCAATTATTTTCTCTTTTGTATACATTCCAGCTAGATTAACAATACCCACCCACAATTTCAGGCCTATAATAAATTACTTCAACTCACCCAAATCCAGCAACACCACCACCAAGCCATATCCAGTCACATTTTCCTATCTAATCTCAGCATCCAAGGGTGATGCTCTGAAGCTCAAGCGCTTGCTCTATGCCCTCTACCATCCTGGAAATTACTATCTGATTCACATGGACTATGCAGCCCCAGAGGCTGAGCACAGGGACATTGCCGACTTTGTGGCTGGAGATCCAGTTTTTGGGCAAGTGGGTAATGTTTGGGTGCTGGGAAAATCCAACTTGGTCACATATAGAGGGCCCACAATGCTGGCTACCACTCTTCATGCATTGGCTCTGCTCTTGAGGACTTGCAAATGGGATTGGTTTATCAATCTCAGTGCTTCTGATTATCCTCTAATCACTCAAGATGGTATGGTGAGTGATTTTTTTTTTTTTTTTTTTTTTTTTGTGTGGGTTTTTCTTTCTTAATCTCTTGCATTAATAATTTATACTTGTTTTCTTATGAATTTTTGTATTTTGTTCAGATCTGATGCATTCGTTTTCTGATTTGCCAAGAGATCTCAATTTCATACAGCACAGTAGTCGCTTGGGGTGGAAGCTGTAAGTTATTTTCTCCTTCATTTAACCTGTTATATACAAGCGATATTGAGGAAGGGGATTCGAAACTCGGTTTAAAATACTTATAAAAAAAAGCTAAGAAATTTTGCAGGAATAAAAGAGGGAAGCCAGTGATAATAGACCCAGGACTCTACAGCCTGAATAAATCAGAATTGTGGTGGGCTATTAAACAGAGGGATCTCCCAACAGCTTTCAAGCTGTACACAGGTTCAACTTCAACCTCCAAATCTTCTGTGCTTGTTTTATTTTAATTTTATTTGCTCTAGAATTTTGGCGTTAATGGCACTGTAGTAGCAGCATGTGAACTTCTGAACAAAACACACGCATCCAAACGTGCGCTAGGACATTGTACACGTCTTGTGGACATGATTTATTTACTTTTGTGTTTCTCTTTTTCTTTTTCTTTTCTTTTTCTCAAACTACAAGTTTAGCTACTGTGGAAAAATATGCCTTATAAATAAAACTAAGATAAGGTATTTTTTAAGGTAAGCAGAAAACCTATACTAGACGTAACACATGATTATATTACCGTAGTATTCTATAATCACTCCAGGTCGAGAGCATGGTTAATTCGCCGTACTAAATGAGCATCATTTTTTCTATTTGTGATTTAATATAAGGTAAAGTGGTAAGGCAAGGAAGAAGAAAAATCATCCCAGAATATATATAAGGTCAAGTGTCACCTTACGTACTTAGCTGGAAAGTCAACTACTTCTTCTGAGATCAAATTGAGTCCATCACAAGATGAAACTGAGTAATAGGTTATGTGAATTGTGGTTGTTCTCATTTGTAGCACCGTCAGATGTCCTTTTCACCCTTTTCTTTATTTCCACTTATTGCTGCCATGATATATTTATATGCATCACGTTTCTTCAAAGATTATGTGCTTTCCCTTTTTTTTTTTCTCCCCATACCGACCACTCCACCTACCTATTGTAGGCGGCACCAAACTAATTAAACACATCCTAATCGAACACACACACACACACAAACTAAATAATATATATATATATATTTCGGATTGCCTCCTCCTTGAAGGGGGATATTCCTTCTTTTGGCGAATCATGGTTTAACATGTATACAAAAATAATTCATCGAAAATATAAAATGAAAATTTTATACACACTTGTCAAACTGTGATTTACACAAATAATTCATCGTTATACATATTACATAACGAGTAATGTTAAAATCACCACATTTAGTCACTGGATATGTCACCACATAATGTGTGAGTGTATGTATGAGTACCTTGTTAGTGATAAAATAAAATTTCTAGTGAAGCCAGACTCTGTGGTGTCATTTGTTGAATAAAATTTGATGTATCCTTAGCCGTACTCATATATTAATAAATCTCTCTCTTTGCTTTCACTCCAGGTTCAGCTTGGACAATTCTCTCAAGATCTTTTGCCGAATATTGCATAGTGGGGTGGGACAATTTGCCAAGGACTCTCCTCCTCTACTACACCAACTTTGTGTCATCACCTGAAGGCTACTTCCAGACAGTCATATGCAACTCCCAAGACTACAAGAACACCACTGTCAACCATGACCTCCACTACATTACATGGGACACACCTCCAAAGCAACATCCCAGGTCTCTGGGACTCAGAGATTTTCCAAGAATGATTCTAAGCAACCGTCCTTTTGCTCGAAAGTTCAAGAAAAATGTACCCGTTCTTAACAAAATCGATCGCGAACTTCTTAAACGACACCGTGGACAGTTTTCTTACGGGGGATGGTGTTCCGGGAGTAAAGGGCAGACGCAGAAGATGTGCTCAGGTTTGCAGGGTGAAAACTATGGTGGGTTAAGGCCCGGATCGGGGGCTAAGAGGTTGAAATCTTGGTTAAAAAAACTCCTCTCCACAAGGAAGTTTCAGAAGCAACAATGCAAATGATTCTTTTAGTAAAAACTGAATAAATATCGCATGCTTGTAATTATGTGTTGTCCATGATTTTTTTTAGAATTTTGGGTTTTTATATATCTAGGATGATATATGATAACAGTAGAAGAATATTGAGAAAATGAAGAAGAAAGAAGAAGAAGGAGGAAGAAGAAGTCTGAGAATAGAAGGCTGTGTATTGATTATTATTAAGAATGATTACAATGTAATAGTACTTATATAGCAAACTAACAGACTCTCTTAACAATCTAACAGAACACGTGCCATTCAATATGGTTATATGGTTATCATTCCCCCTCAAACCCAGCTGAGCTGCTAAGTTGCAGATTCCTGCAATGTCTCAGAATAATAGGACCATGTAATCCCTTTGTGAAGATGTCCAAAGCTAGATCAGCTGTTGTATGAGCTAATGCCCTGTACTTAGCCTCAGTTGAACTTCTAGAAATAGAATTTTGCTTCTTAGATTGCCAAGAAACTGGATTGTTGCTAAGATAAACCACAAAACCAGTAGTTGATCTGCGAGTATTCACATCTGAGGCCTAATCTGCATCACTATAAGCATGAAGATCCCAAGATCAGCTTGTAAAAGTCAGACCATGATCCAAAGTACCATGAATATATCTCAAGATGCGCTTAACCAACTGAAAATGTAAATCTGAAGGTTGAGTCATATACTGATAGATAGTATTAACAACATAACAAAGATTAGGTCGAGTGAATGTCAAATACTACAGTGCCCCAACAATACTCCTGTAGATAGTTGGATCAGATAAGGAGTCACCCTCTGAAGCCAAAAGCTGACAATGTGGCTTACATGGAGTAGTACAAGGTCGACATGTATCCATACCAGCCTTTGCAAGTAAATCTCTAGCATATTTTGTTTGACATACAAAGATATCTCCATTATCATGATAAGAAATCTGCAATCCTAAGAAGGAGGTTAACCGCCCTATATCTTTCATTTCAAACACAGCACTTAATTCATCAATAACCTCTTGGACTAAACTATCTTTAGAACCAGTCAAGATGATATCATCAACATAGAATAGAACAATGACACTATCTAAACCAACATGCTTAACAAAGAGACTTGGATCAAAATGAGAAACAATAAAACCAAATTCTGGAAGATGACCTGTGAACTTTGCATTCCAAGCTATGAGTGCTTGCTTTAGCCCATAAAGAGATTTTCTCAATTGACAAACATGGATTGGATATGCAGATTCTTCAAAACCTTGAGGTTGACGCATAAACACTTCTTCTTCAAGGTCACCATGAAGAAAATCATTTTTCACATCAAGTTGTCTAAAAGACCACCTGTTCATAGCAGCAATACTCAAAACCAATCTAACTGTTGTATGCCTTACAACAGGGCTAAAAGTCTCACTAAAATCTAGACCAGGAGCTTGACTGAAACCTTGTGCAACCAAGCGAGCCTTATGTCTTGCTACAGACCAATCTGAGTTCTTCTTGACTCTATAAACCCATCGGCTATCATCAATGTTTTTATCCATAGGCATAGGAACTAAATCCTATGTACCTTGGGTGTGCAAAGCTTCAATTTCTTCCCTCGTAGCCTGTATCCAAACAGATGACTGAGAAGCAGCCTTATAAGTAGTTGGTTCAACAGCTTCATGAAGGGATGGAATAGTAGTAAGATAGCATTGATATTCCTCAAATGGCTTAGGCCTGACAATACCACTCTTAGACCTTGTCTGCATAGGATGCATAGGATGAGGCATAAATGGTGAAGAAGATTTATGAGAAGGCAAAAGAACTTGTAATTGTTGAGCATTAAGAACTTGTAAATTCTCTGTAAAGTCTGCACTCGAAGCAACTAAAACTGGATCACCATCAAAAGATGCAGAAACATGGGAAGGGACATCAGAGGATTGTGAGGAAGCACGACTAAGATCTGGACTAGAAGCCAAGGAAGGCACATGGTGCAAAACAGAAACTACAATAGGTGGAGCCTTGAAAGAAGATGGAGTACAAAAAGAAAGATTGCTAGATGGAAGTGAAGGCTCAGAGTGCTTAAAAGGAAAGACACTCTCATCATGAACCACATGTCTAGAGAGAAGGACTCAGTGAGTAGTAGGGTTATAGCATATAACACCTTTATAACCCTGAGAATATCCCATGAAAACACACTGTAGAATCCTAGATTGAAGTTTATGTTCATTAAATTGTCTAATATAAGGATAAACAGATGTGCCAAAGACTCTTAGATGTTGAAGAGGTGGAGGCTTGTCAAATAACTTCTGAAAAAGAGACTGATTCCCAAGAGCAATATTAGGCATGAAATTGATCAAGTAAGCAGCATATGCCACAACATGATACCAAAATTGACCAGGAAGATTGGCAGTAACCAGCAGAGTCAAGGCAATTTCTATAACATGGCGATTCTTTTTCTCAGCAAGACCATTTTGCTGAGGAGTGGAAGGACAAGACAACTGGTGAATGATGCCTTTTGAGTCAAGAAAATAGGCAAATTGTGAACTATTAAACTCACCACCCCTATCACTTTGAAAATCTTAAAGATGAGCACCAAATTGAGTACTAATAAAGGCATAGAACTTAAGAAAGATCTCAAAAACTCCAGATTTATTGAACAGTGAATAAAGCCACATGAAACCAGTACATTCATCAACAAATGAGACATAATAGCGATATCCATCTACGAATTTATTTCTAGAGGGACCCCATACATCACTATGGATCCTCTGAAATGCTATATTAGACTTAATATGCTCACTAGGAAAATGCAACTTATGCATTTTGCCGTGCAAACAAGCAAAACATAGGGCAGAAATAGAATCAACAGAAATAGACACAGCAGAGGCTTGAAGCATTAGTTTCACAACTTCATTTGTTGGATGACCTAACCTTTGATGCCAAAGCGAGGACTTTATTTTTTGGCCAAGATAGGCAACTGGAGTAGAAGAAAAACAGGAAGCGCGATTCAAGACAGAAGAAGTAGCTAGAGGAATGTGATAAAGGCCTTGATTACTTTTGCCCTGAAGAACAATTTCCTTGGTGAGCTTGTCCTGTATGCAAAAACCAAAAGCATCAAAGGTGATAAGACAATTGTTATCTTTACACAATTGATGAACCGATAATAGATTGGCTTTAAGTTTGGGAACATGAAACACAAATGGCAGAGATAAAGATCTGGTATTGGCATAAGAAATAGAGGTAGTGCCAAGATTAAGAATTTCCAAACCTTCCCCATTATCAACAGTGACATTCTCAGTCACATCACAAGAAGTGACATTATGCAGGTGAGAGGCATTGCCAACCATATAATGAGAAGCTCATGTGTCAACAATCCAAACTTGCTCTGGAGAATAAAAAGACTGAGCCGTCATAGCAGTTTAGGAAGATGGCGATGCTTGCCCTTGAAATGCATAGTTAGAGTGGTGATAACAATCCAAAGCAGCATGCCCTCGTTTGCCACAGATTTGGCACTCAACAATAGGTGAAGGAGCATCCGAAGAGGAAGCATTGCGATAATAACAGTTCGCCGTTGTATGACCACGTTTGCTGCATATTTGACATTTTGGCACAACCTTGTATGAACCAGAACCACCATAATTAGAAGAAGGAGCACCACGAAAACCAGATGAGCGAAACTGAGATCGTTGATTCCGGCTGCCATTAAACCTTCCACGACCATAAGAAAAGCCACGAGAAGAATGCACAGGAGGTAGAGGATGAGAAGGAGTAGGCAGTAAGCCTTGACCAGAAGCAACAGAAGAGGGTTGAACATTAGAAGATGAATTCGCAGCATACAGACTTGAGTGATGAACAATACGAGCCTCAGCAGTTTGCTCTGCAGCTAGGAGTTGAGCGCGAAAATCTTTAAGAGTGATTGGAGAATCACAAGCAATCAAAACAGTCTTGATTATGGTGGTAAACCATTCAACGCAGCGATAACAAAATCATTATCGGAAATGAGCACATCAGCCACACACAATTGGTCACGAATGTGTTTAAGACGAAGCAAGAATTGCTAAATGGAGTCTCCATCTTCTTGAGTAGTTTGCAGTTCGGTTTTCAGATGATTAATTCTTGCTCGAGAAATAGAGGCGTATTGATTACATAGATGAAGCCAGGCTTTTCGAGCTATTTGACTCCCGATGACATACTCAAGTGCTTCATCTGACAAAGATGCAATAAGAAGGCTCAAGAATCCTTATCTGTGCGAATCCAGTCTTTATAGGCCGTAGTGAGCTCAGAAGTAGCGCCTTCTTCACCCAAAATGGCGAATTTGGGAGGAGAAACAAATGAACCATCGAAGTGGTCGAACAAATCGTAGCCCTGGAGTACCGACTCCAGTTGATAACTCCACGTCTAGAAGTTATCATCGTTAAGCCTAGTAAGCATGCCCAAAAGGCCGTCAATTTTGAGAGAGGAAGCCATGAAAGCAAAATTAGGGTTTCACAAAATGAAAATTTGTTTTGGAGAAAATTGCAGAGAAATTGAGAGATCAGGATTTGAGATTGACAGAAGAAAGAAGCAGAGAAATAAGAAAGAACATAATGCGGAAGCGAATAGACCTCAGAATCAAACCAAAGCTCATGATACCATGATAACAGTAGAAGAATGCTGAGAAAATGAAGAAGAAAGAAGAAGGAGGAAGAAGAAGTATGAGAATAGAAGGTTGTGTATTGATTATTATTAAGAATGATTACAATGTAATAGTACTTATATAGCAAACTAACAGACTCTCTTAACAATCTAACAGACTCTCTTTACAATCTAACTGTTCACCCATTTTTGATTTGTTCCTGTGATGATAGGGTAAAGTTCTCTATTGTCCTGAAAACCATTTGTGGTTAACAAGTCAACTTTCTTTTGCGTATGAGCGTGCCACTGCTAGCAATAAAAACCCTAGCAGACTTCTTTAAAAATGGATAACTTGCGCCTCAAGTCACTGATTTCTACACAAGCAATTGTGAATTTGGGTGAGGAATATCTCCCAAGTAAGTTCTTTTCTTGCCTCAGATTGGTGAAGACTTCACAATTTTTCACAGTACAAGTGTGAAAAATTCAGACTGGTGAAGGCTTTTTGAACGGGCAGCATTGGAACCTCTTCAATCTAGAAGGGGCAGAAGTGGCTGGATTTGATGATTACTGAGCTGGAACTGCGCTGTAGTACCTATTCTGCTTGATCAGGGCTCTCCATAAATTTGTTGAGCTTTTCATATT